TATGCTAGATGTCCTAGCAAGGCCCAGTGGATCAGGCTCCTCAGTTACCTGAGGTGGTGACTCTTGGTGCTCCCCTTTGTGTACTGCGTATACAGCCTTGTTGTAGTTAAGCCTAGATTATTGTTAGTATCACTGTGGGGGAGTTGACCTCCAGGCCAATTGGCTGTGAGGATCAGCTGTGTCTCCTCTGGGAGAGCTTCTGTACTCAGCTTGGATGGGGTGGAGTCTCAGGGTAGAGCAGACAAATTTGGTTTCTTGTCGACCCTGCCCTACGAGGCCCCTGTGTCTCAGTGTCTTGCAGCAATGGCTGCACACAGCTCTGAGAGAAGACTGCCTTGAGTTTTTCCCACTGCCAGACAGTCCAGTTTCTCCCTGAATGAGTCTGGGTACTCCAAGTCTCACCCGAAACTGGATTTCAGTGCAGTCAGGGGGTTTTGTTTCCCTCCCGAATGAGAGAGCTAGCTGCGTGCTTGCTGTCCGCCCTCTCTGAGTGCCATGAGTAAGCCAACCATGTATACAGCTGCCCACCCTTTCCCCTGCATGGGTCTCCATACCTCTGTCCTCCACAGGTCCTCTAGATCTCAGTGTCCTTTTTCTCTTTCCTTCAAGTTGTAGAGATTCCACTCAGCCAGCTTTCTGGTGGTTCTGGACAATGTCCATTCTGTCTTCCAGTTGCAGTTTTGAAATTGTTGTGTGAGGCAGCAGTATAGGTGTTTACCTATGCTGCCATCTTGGTTTCTCCCCTGTATGTATTTTTCATAGTAAAACTATGTAAGGCTTCATACCTGCTAATAATGGTTATTTCTGGATGGTAGTATTTATTATAGATTAGTTTTATTTGCATCCTTATAATTTTTGTGTTTTCCAGTTTTTCTATGCAAAACGTGCACTACTCATGTAATTGGCAAAAATGAAAACCTTATTATAAAAAGAGGTCTGAAAACAAGCCTTTTTTGTAGTTTCATTCTTGTAATACATTCCTAGCAATACTTCAATTTTACCTGAGGTACTGATTCTTTTATGTTGATGTTGAATCAGAGGGGAGCCACCTTTTAAACTATTCTTTGGGGAATCTCTTTGTGGATGAGGAACTATGTAGCTCTGTAATATCTAGGGAATTTGACTACAAGAAATTATCCATAAATTTTTGCATCTTCATGATCTGTAGTAATTCCCAATGTTTAGACCATAGACCCCTGAGTGAAGGGAAGGGTGTTTAATGCACAAAGTCTACAGATCTTTAAATGAATAAGTGTTGCCCTGGCCAGTGTTCAGTAGTTAGAGCATCAGCCCACAGACCAAAAGGTCTCAGGTTCAATTCCTGGCCAAGAGCATGTATCTTGGTTGCAGGTTTGTCCCTGGTCCCTCTTGTGACAGGTTTGTCCCTGGTCCCTCTTGTGGCATGTATAGGAGGCAACCAATTTATGTGTCTCTCTCGTGCCAATGTTTATCTCTCTCCCCTTCCTCTCCCTTCCTTCCCCTCTCTCTAAAAAAATCTATGGAAAATATCCTTGGGTGAGGAATAATAATAATACTATCATTTAAAAAAGAGATAAGTGTTTTTCTCACTCTGTATGCACTAAAAATACAGCTACTATTGTAGGTGAAGTGCAATTTTTTTTTTTTTAATCTTAAGAAGGGACACTTTTTTTTTAACCTAAAATGTTGGGTGCCATTGAATTAGAGACTAAAAATGATGGTTATTAAATCATCAACATTAGGAATTAAAGATGCTTACTTCTTGCCCTTTGGATCAGGGTTTGCATGTCTTTGCCCAGCACTTTAATCATTTGCAAACATTGGTGTATAGTCACTAAACTGTCAGTTGGTTTAAACATTTAATTTTTTCACTCATATCTTCCTTTTCTAAGCTTAATGATTAACATATAAAGCTGACTATGTCTCAAGCATAGCTTATTATGGAACACTGCTCTCCCCCCCACTACCACACCAAATTTGCTCCTTCTCTCCCTTCTCAACATTATCCACCCAGCTCCCAAATTAGAAACCTTTGTTTCCTTCACTTCCCTCGCCCTTCACTTTACATGCAATTGATCACAGAGCCCAATGTATTTAACCTCTTCAGTATATCTCAAAGCCATGCTGTCTGTTTCATCCTTACCATAACTGCCTGCCTATTGTAACAGCTTCTCAATGAGTTCTTTTCCTGGGAGAATCACTTCATTAGGCAGCCAGAGGCTCTTTCTAAAATGCAAATTTGGTCATGTCATTCCCTGGCTCAAAGTCTTCAGTGCCTCCCTGTTGTCTACAAGACAAAGCCTAGAAACCTCTGCTTGTCATTCAAGGCACGGCCCAATCTGGCCACAGCCTCATTTTTCAACCTCATCTGCTACTTCCCATAAGGCACCTGCCTTGTATTCTGATCACATCATACATTTTCTTTTCATGCTGTTTAGGATGTTCTTTTTGTTTTATCTTCTCTCTCTTCTGGCAATTCAACCTCTATTTCGTGTCTCACCTCAAGTATATTTCCTCTAGGAGAGACTGTTCCTGACCTGACCAAGTAGAATTCACCTCATCTATCCCTTCATTCCATCCCATCAATATTATTATTATTATTATTATTATTATTATTATTATTATGTCAGATTTTTTAAATACTTCTATTATTAATGCAAGTAACACTTTATGGCCTGATGTTCCCCACATCTGTTCTTTCTGTATATGAACTCCTCATGGGGCAGGCACCATGTCTTTTCCATCTCTGTACCTCCTAACTCTAGCCATACTAAACTTTATAATTATAATTATACTTTGAACATACTAAGATTTTTTGCATAGATCCCTCTGGTGAGCCTGCCCTTCTCTCTTTCTTCCCTTCTCTGAAAAGGCAACACCTACTCATCCTTCAAGACTCACCTCATGGATGGACATGGAAAGTATTATGCTAAGTGAAATAAGCCAGGCAGAGAAAGGCAAGCCCCATGATTTCACTTATTTGGGAAATGTACAGAATCAAATAAACAAACAAACAAAATAAAAGCACACTCAAAGAAGAAATAATGACAGCTGTTAGAGGGGAGGGGGGTCGGGGAGCTGGGTGGAAAAGGTGAAGGGATTAAGAAAAGGAAAAACGCATAGACACAGATAACAGGATGGTAATTACCAGAGAGAAATGGGGGTGGGGAGAGGTAAGAGAGGGGGAGGGAAATTAATGCTGATGGAAGAAAACAATTTGGAGTGGTGAACACACAATACAATATACAAGTGATATATTATAGAATTGTACCCCTGAAACCTATATAATTTGATTAACCAATGTCACCCCAATATAATCAATAAAAATATTATTTATTTATTTATTTAATCCTCACGTGAGGATATTTTTCCATTGATTGTTTAGAGAGAGTGGAAGAGATAGGGAAAGACAAAGAGAAGTACATTGATTGGTTGTCTCCTCCATGTGCCCCAACCAGGGTCCAGGCTAGAAAGGCAATCTAGGTATATGCCCTTGACTGGAATTGAACCTGGGACCCTTCAGTCTGCAGGCTGACAGTCTGTCCACTGGGCCACACTGAGTAGGGCTACAAATATATTTTAAGGAAAGATTCCTCTCAAACACAGTCTCTCCGAAATATTTTTAAAATTTCTTTATTGAAAAATGTATTACATATGTGTCCTTATCCCTCCTTTACCTCCCCAAGCCCCCCCCCCCACTCATGCCATTACCCCCCTGTTGTCTGTGTCCATTGGTTAGGCTTATATGCATGCATACAAATCCTTTGGTTGATCTCTCCCACTTACCCCCACCCTCTCCTACCCTCCCTCTCAGGTCTGACAGTATGATCTGAACTTTCTGATGTACTGCTGGATCTGATTTGCTAGAATTTTGTTGAGGAGTTTGGCATCTATATTCATGAGGGATATTGGCCTGTAATTCTCTTTCATTGTGTTATCTTTATCTTGTTTTGGTATTAGAGTGATGCTGGCTTCATAGAAGGAGCTTGGAAGTGTTCCTTCCTCTTGAATATTTTTGAATAGTCTGAGGAAGATAGGTTTCAGTTCTTCATTGAATGTTTGGTAAAACTCCCCTGTGAAGCCATCTGGCCCCGGGTTTTGTTTGCTGGAAGCTTTTTGATGACTGCTTCAATTTCTTCCATAGTTATTGGACTATTGAGCTGTTTAGATTCTTCCTGATTGAGTTTCGGCAGGTTGTATTTTTTCTAGGAATATGTCTATTTCTTCCAGGTTGTCCAGTTTGTTGGAATAGTTTTGTTCATAGTATTTTTTAACAGTCCTTTGTATTTCGTTGGGGTCTGTTGTTATTTCTCCTCTTTCATTTCTGATTTTGTTTGAGTCCTCTCTCTTTGCTACTTGGTGAGACTGGCTAGAGGTTCATCAATCTTGTTTATCTTTTCAAAGAACCAGTTTCATTGTTTCAAAGAACCAGTTCTTTTCAAAGAACCAGCTCCTTGTTTCATTGATCTTTTGTATTTTTTTGTCTCTATCTCATTTATTTCTGCTCTGATCTTCATTATCTCCTTCCTTCTGCTCACTCTGGGCTTTTCTTTCTGAAATCTTTGCATGTTCTTAGATAGAATTAATTGTTTCCACTGTGTTCTCTCCTAGCCTTCTGGACAAACTTTAATTATAGCATTTGCCCCATAAACATTTTATTATAATTATCAGCTTACATGGCTTCCCCCTACCCTATCCCCATCCCTAGGCTGTGAGATGTCAGACAAGAAGTCATCTTTGTGTTTCTAGCACAAAGCATAATGGATAAACAATAAGTACTTCCTTGATCAATAATTAGACAAAGTCTTTTATGGTACATGGCTACCTTGGAAAAACTGTTGGGTAGGTCAGTAAGCTTTGACAACTCATTAATACAACTGACGGAAGCATTTCTGGGTTGATGGATTGATGGGGATTTTCTAGGTCTTGACTAAATCTTCCCTTGTTATTCTTCCAGGTGCTTATGCTCAATGGTTGGTGCACTGCCCATCCTCACCATTCCCCCATGAGCCTTGGTTCTGATGCAACCTATGGTCATGCAGGGATGCCCTTACACCTTCCCACGATGTCATGAGTGGCCAGCTACTGACCATTTCCATCATAGCAGCAGCCTCCGAAGCACCTGCCCCCAGCTTCAGGTAAGAAGCCACTAGCAAAAGGAAGACTGTGGAGAAAAAGTGAACACAGTATCTGTATGTGTTCTTGTTGGGTGTTCATGCTTCCTGAAGCTCAGGGGAACTCTTCATATACATGAAAGCACATGGCCTCCTTCTGGCCTATCCTTTGTCATTCATGAGGCATTTCATCAGGGGAAGGGGGGGACATGGGGCATGGAAATGTATTGGGCGGGGCAAGTCAAAGCCCACAATGGCTGAGGGGGCTGGTTCCATGTTAACTGTGATTAACATGGAATGTTCCAGAAGACCATATTCCTACAGGGCACAGCCTAGGACAAGGCAGGATCTTCCTTTGCCTTGGCTTCTCTGTGGCATACTCATATTCTGTACCTCCATCCATTTATTCCTCTCAAGTACCTAGCCTTACTTGAAGTTCCTGGCTCAGCCCCACTAAAACTCCCCTGTGCCTGATACATGCCTCTCCTCTTTCCTCCCCTAGGAGTATAGTTGTGGTACTGTGTGTTCCTGCTTGTGTATGTTGGTAGGTAGGCACACAATTTGTGAGAGGCAGTAATCCTGAAAAGGGAAGCCAGGGAGGCCATGGGGAAATTGAATTGACAAGGGAGAAGCATAAGCATATTTTGTCTTGCCCTACAGTGCTTTGGGGTCCAGAGGCCAAGGGGGTGTAAGAAAATACTATGTCTCCTAGTTTCTCACAGGTGGGCTGTTGTGCTCAAACATTTATGGGAGTACAGACAGCAGATGAATATACAGGGAGAAGAAAGAGAGAAAGGTGGTAGAAATGGAGAATGTAAGTGTTTGGGAGCCCTTTTTGGAGGAGAATAGTGAGGGAGAGTCCAAAGTCCAGAGAGGCATAAGTTCAAGGTTCTCCTGAGCTATTTTTCTCTACATCTAGCTAGAGAGAAAGTGCTACATCTACCATGTTTTCAAAGTCAGTGTCAACTTAGAATTCCTCAGTGCACCTACCTCTTCCCCAGAGTGGGAATTTCATAGTATCAAAGGATTGAGAAGCCTGGGCCCTTTCAAAACATTTGCTCTGTTTGTTGTCTGCCCCCTTAAAGCTTCACCTCCCTAGACACAGGGACCTGAGGGCTTCATTTTATGATTCAGAATGGTAAAACCACCTCTTCTCCCCTACCTCTGTCCAATCACGTCTCTCCCTTCATGATGGCCCTGACTTTGTCTTAAAGTTTCAAGAGATGAGGGAAAAACTGTGTGGAGGGTGGGAGTGAGAAGCAAATATCTTGGCCAATTATAGAAGGAATTGATAGGGAAAGAAAACAATTATTGTTCATTATTTACCTATTGTTTGCTTATCTCTGCTAGGTGGACTTGTGAGTATAAGGGGGAACTAGGAGGGGAGGACAGAGTGAAGGAACATAGTAAGGGAGCCAAGAAGGGGATTAGGAAACTAAGAAGGCTAGAGGGAATTAAAGGCTAACATGGGTGGAGCCAGCTCATTGTAGGCACTTCCTATAGTACCAGGAGAAGTTGACTGTGGCTGGGTCACAAGGGACCATTTCTAACTCTGGGGCATTCCCAGTCCAGGAGAATCTGCAAGACTGGATTGAGCCCATTTATCCCTGCATAAGAAAAACTGTGACCTGGAGCAAAACCCACTCTCCATGCTTAGCCTACCATCCATTGCCATCCCACATCCACCCCTGATGGCTCCATCCCAGACTCTCAGAAAGGGTCAGGCAGCTGCTCCAAATATTCCTGTAGGTGGGCCTCAGCATGGAAACAATGTAGGACTGTGGAAAGCCCAGAAGACTCTGTGGGAGATAAATAAGGATGGGAACAGAACCCTTTTTGGTAAAATGAAGTGTTTCCCTTAGTGCTGAGGGGTGGGAGTCCAGCTTGGGAATGTAACCTTTCCCCAAGCAAGTCTTCTTGAAAAGGAGGGTGTCCACATACAGAAGGGACCCTGCTTGTCAGGCCAGTCGCCCAGAGCAGTGGGGCAGGGCACAAGAGACTCTCTAGAACTGGATCCCTACATAGAGCTGCTCATTGCCATTTTGCCCTTTCCTTCCCCTGCAGAGGTTCGTAGACCATTTTCCTCTGGCCTTAGAGTGTGGTTGGATGTCTGGGGAGCGGGGGGATATGCCTTTTCTCTCACCCATCTCTGCCTTTCACAGTGGGCTCAGATGAATCTTCTGCTGCCCAACAATCTGATCCTGCTACCCCACGGTTCTGTCCCCAGTTGTGATACACATATTTCTCACTGCCTCTGACACTTCCTTCTTCAAAGACAAGGCTTATTTCCAAGCCTATCCTCCTGGCAGGTCTTTGGGAAATTGCTTATCAGAGAGGTTTGTCACCAAAGTGATCTGATACTTTCCTCCACCTCAGGAGAGAGGTAGGCCTGGAAGCAGAGTGAATCCTTTGTGTCTTCCACAGCAAAGGAAAATAAGTCAGCAGGCACTGCTCTCTGCATGCCCCTTCTCAGCACCATGGAATGCCCAGTCCCACTCTTGCCATCCTTGCAGTTTGGGAGGTTCCCTCCTGGCCCCGGTGTGGCGGGCCCAGTTGGGAGTGAGCCGGAATTCCCTAGAGACAAAGCTCTGATTCACCGGCTGAGCCCTTACATAGCCACCCCCTCAAGATTCCTGGCGGGTCAGTAAACAAACAGGGTGACAGCTCCCACCTCTGGCCTGGCAAAACTCTGCCTGCCCTCTCTGTGGGAGCCTACTCAGAGCCTGTCAATACTGCCTGTGGCTCACCAGGCATTGGGTCTGGATTCGTGCTGAGGGATAATCATGGAGCTGCTCCATCCTGCAACGGAGTCCCTGCAACACAGGTAGTATCAGCTCTTTGGGATGCAGGGTGACTGAGTTAAGAGTTATGCCCCAGAACCTGGCTGCTCCCTCAGTTCCCTGTTAGTATGTGGCTGCAAGCTGTGGTTTTAATGGTATGGTTGTTTTTCTAAATTGCTTGGAGAGTTTTGTGTGGGAAAAAGTCTTGGGGGGAAGGAAACTAGACAATCTCAGCCACAAGCAGGACTGTGTTCTTCCCAGAGAAGGCAAGCAGGTGGACAGGCAGACTGTGGGTTTCCCGGGGCTTGGGTGAAGAGGCTACACTGAGATTCCTCCTCCACACTCCCCCTTCCTCGACCCCCATTGCCCCCCTGGTTGAGCAGTCTTGACATTGTGCTGGGGAAAGCTAACTTCTTAGGGCTATTTGGCATAACCCCATTCATCCAAACCCTGCATTACCCCAAAGGGCAAGCAAGTGATGGGCTGTGGGCTTGGATGCCCAAGATTTTGGCTGGCTCCATGGCTGATCCTCTTAGCTGCCCACTCTGGTCAGAGTCGTTTGGAGGTCAGGATCCAAAATGCTTCTTTAGCCCTTTACAATTCCATGGGAAGTAAACAATGCTCTTTAGGATGATTTACATCCAGATTTCCCAACTATGGTGGGAAATGCAAGTGGGAAAGAGGGAGAGGGGCAGCCCCCGAGCTTTCTTTTCCATAGGTTGGGTAAACGAGGGGACCCTGAAATAGGAGCTTACAGTTCATCTTTATTTCTGTGGTTGCCAGCATTTGGGGAAATTCTGAGCACCTCTTACCTAATGCAAGGACTTCCAGGATCACACTTGGGCAGTAGTCCTGGCAGAATTTACAATCATAAGAGTAATACTGTAGTAGTCAGCAGTCATATGTGACCAATCTATAACAAGAGTGGACCTTGCAATCAACAGAGCCACTGAGTCTTCCTTTATCTCACCCCCAAACATACCCAGGAACAAGCCTTTATCTTTCCTTGTTCACACCTGTCCCACCCTTGTCTTCCTACAGACCAGGGTGAGGCACACTCCAGGGATCATAGGATGTCTGTGTTTCTGCCCAGGTTAGAGCTGCTGCCATCTCCCCTGTACCTCCTCAGGATGGTGCTGGGGTTTTCTGCCTAAGCACAAAGCTGTTCAATGGGTCTGTTGGTACCTCTGGACCCCTGGAACCATCAGCCATGAATCTGTGTTGGAATGAAATCAAGAAGAAATCTCACAACCTCCGGTAAGGCCTGTCCCCCACAAACAGGGGCCGTAGAAACCTGACTCAGACAGTGCTGGGCTCCTTTTAATGCTGCAGCCTGTCATTCTCCTCTCAGCCTGTGTCTCGCCCTTTAATTAGCCTAACTTTCCCCTTCTCTCCCCTTTCCTTCTCTGACACTGGAGGAAAAACCTGGGTCAGAAATCAGGAGATTTGAATTTGAGCCTCAGGTTTAAGTAGCTATGTCACCTTGGCTAAGTGGTTTGAGTTAGCTGAATTTTAGCTTCCATTTATTTGGATTATTTTTAAGGAAAAAAAATGGGTGGAGGAATAATACCTGTCCTACCTACCTCACAGTGTTGTTATGAGAATTCAAATAAGATATGAAAATGCTTGCTAAACTTAAAAGCACTGATATATAAATGGAAAGATATGATTATTCTCTCATCTTTCTCTTTGCATAACTTTTCTCCATCTTGGTAGATCTCATCTTCTCTCTCTCCTATTCTTTCATCCCTCTTTTCCATGAGTAGGGAACCTTTTTTTCTGCAAAGGGCTATTTAAATATTTATTTATGGGCCATACAAAATTATCAACTTAAAAAATTAGCCTGCTATATTTAGTCAAACATTTAATTAACTCACCCCTAATGCCTTGGCAGGACCAGACCAAATTATTTTGAAGGCCTTATATGGCCCTCGGGCCGGATGTTCCTCACTCTTGCTTTATTCCCATTTATTCATTATTAATCCACCTAGTGCTCCACAAACTGAGGACAAGTCAGTAAGAGCTAAAAAGCAATTTCTATATCAGTTATTCCCCTTTTTCCCTACCCCTAGTGTATCCCCCACCCTACACTTTTCTTCTCCATACTATATAGTCAAAGTCCAAACCTGTAGTTTCTGGTAAGCTTTAGTGGAGATGAGACAGTGTGGAGAAATTGAAAAAGTGCAGGCTTTGAAGTCATATAAAACTAAATTCAAATTAAAACTCTACTAGTGACTTAACTATGTGATCTTAGGTAAATTACTTAACCTCTCTGGGCAATAGTAGTGCCTACCTAATAAAGTTGCTCTGAGAATTAGTGGAAACAAAAATGTAGGGAAAGGGTTTGGCCCAGGTAATAGGGAGGCAATGCTTCATTATTGTTGCCAGCTAAGGGAAATGGATTTGATGACTGCACACAGCCTAGGCTGGCCTCCAGCTTCCTACCACCTGGACCTCAGCTCATTGTTCATTTGTGGGGGAAGGCTGACAGAGATGGTTATACAGGACACATTTTTAATATGCCATATGTTAAACCTCTAGCCTATGTTGCTATCATTTTTTGGGACCCTTGGACCTCTTCTATTTGTATGCATCCTTGCATATGTGAGTGCCTATACTCAACTCCCTGACTTGCCCTTCCCACTTATTGCATCCTTCCCTGCTCAGAGGGCAGGCTCTGAGAAGCCTCTGTGGATGTGCAGTTGGCATGAGTTAAGTTCCTCTAGGGCAGTGGTTGGCAAACTGTGGCTCGTGAGTCATATGCAGTTCTTTGGCTTGAGTGTGGCTCACCACGTGTGGGCATGCACATACAGTGCAATTGAAACCTCATGACCCATGCACAGAAGTAGGTTTTCGGCCTGGGCAAGTCTATTTTGAAGAAGTGGCGTTAGAACACTCAAGGGTCCAAAGAGCCGCATGTGGCTCGAGAGCCTCAGTTTGTTGACCACTTTCTAGGGCAAGAGGGCAAGAAGACAGCTGTCACCTCTAATGCCCTTGCTCAATTTTCTGTCTTTTCTAACATGATGCTTAGGCATGTGACTGATTTAACTGATGTCCACAAAGTAACAAGTTAAACCACTTAAGTTTGGGATACCTCCCCACACATGTTCCTGCCCATTGGTTTTGACAGTGAGATCCATGTGGAGCTGCCTCTGTGGGTGGGTAAGAGGGAGGGTTCTGGACCTCCTCCTACTTCAACCAGAGTAACTCCCCTTTAGTCTGTTTATATATATTAATGTTTCACATAAGTGTTGGGTAAAAAATGTTTTGCCACTTAAAAACAAGACTGAAAATCATTGGTGTTATCCATTGTGTGTAGTGCTCGCCTAGAGGCCTTCTCAGACCATAGTGGAAAGCTTCAGCTCCCTCTCCAAGAGATTATTGACTGGCTCAGCCAAAAGGATGAGGAATTGTCAGCCCAGCTGCCCCTACAAGGGGATGTGGCCCTGGTACAACAGGAAAAGGAGACACATGCGGTAGGTTCAAATTATGGAGGCCGTGGTACGTGCCTCTTAGTCGTGAAGGGATTGCTTCTACAATACCCTGACAGAAGGACACTCAGTCTCTGCTTACATACTTAAAGTAACAGGAAGCTGCATGTGGTCTTAAAGACCTATGGATAACACTCCACAGAGAAACTCAAAGCATTCCTCTCTATATCTCCAATCAAATATTGGCCTCCCTTAAAAAAAGTGCCATGATTTTTAATGAAGCCATGGAAAATAAACCAATTATAACATAAAATAAAATAAAAACACAGGATACAAAAATATATACAGGTGGATCTCAATTGTATAAAAATATATATAGATGTTTGTACATGCCTGCACACATATAAAAATATAAGAAGGAAATATATAAAATGTCCATAATGGTTAACAACTCTAGATTATGAAATTGGAGTTCTTTTTAGTTTTTTATACTTTTCTAAAACTTCTAAGATTTCTGTTACATATATTTCCTTTATAATCAGAAAGTAGCAAAAGATTTCTAAAACTATATACAGATGCATTGAAAGAAATGATAATTATGTGACATGACAGAGATGTTAGCTAATGCTACAATGACAATATATTGCAATATAAATGTATCAAATAAATATGTTGTATACCTTAAAGTTACACAATATCATATGTCAATTATACTGCAATTAAAATACATACAAAATGGAATATAACACAGCAAGAAAGTAAACTATAATTTTGTGTCACAACATGGATGAATGTTAAAGATGGTATGTTGATTGAAACAAAAGATACAAAAGAGGATATACTGTATGATTCCATTTATATAAAGTTCAAAAATGGAAAAACTAATCGGTGGTATTACAAGACAAAATAGTGGTTACCCAAGTCGGGGGGAGTATAAGATAGTGACCAGAAGGGGCCATGAGGGGCTCTTCTGGGATGCTAGTGTAATTCTGTTTCTTGATCTAAGTACTAGTTATAGAGATGGAATCACTTAATGGAAATTAATTGAGATGTGCACTTTTGATTTTTTTTTTTACTTTTCTCTATGTATATTTCAATAAAAAGTTAATTAAAACCAATGTAATATTGCTCATTCTGGTTTTGATTTATCGAAGCCACTTAGAGGGGACTTCCTCAGTCTTTTGAAGAACCAAAATTCCCAGCCCCAAATCCCCACGATTCTCTCTACCCTGTGCCATAGAGACACATTTCATACTACATAGATGTTCCAGTGTCACAATTAATCTTTCTTCTGCCTGTAAGGAGGACTTTTTGTGTGGGTAGGCCAAAGGTACATGACAATGCCACAGGATCAAGTTACACTGAGAAGAAAGCTTATCAATTGTAGAATGGAATGTAAAGTGATTGATTGAAAGATGTTCCTTCCCTGTTGACTGTGTTGCTAAACTTCACAGGCATTTATGGAAGATGTGAAGTCTCGGGGCCCCTATATCTACTCTGTGCTAGAGTCAGCTCAGGACTTTCTGTCCCAGCACCCATTTGAGGAATTAGAGGAGCCTCGTTTGGAGAGCAAAGGTGGGTGGTCTTCCTCTCCCCCCGCTTCCTCCTGAACTATGAGCACTAAACACCTTCCTGGCTTTCCTAAACTCATTTTCTCAGCTGTTACCTAGGAGGATAGTTTTCCAAAATTGGAGAAGAGAGATTCATACTGCAAGAAAAAGCAAAGAGAACAGGGCCTGAAGCAGGATACACATACATTTGCCCCAAAGCTGTATGTGGCTCTGGAGCATCACATGTGGCCTTCTAATGAAGCATGAAAAAGAAAAAAACAGCCGAAGCCGGTTTGGCTCAGTGGTAGAGTGTCGGACTGCGAACTGAAAGGTCCCAGGTTTGATTCTGGTCAAGGGCATGTACATTGGTTGCGGGCACATCCCCAGTGGGGGATGTGCAAGAGGCAGCTGGTCGATGTTTCTCTCTCATTGACATTTCTAGCTCTCTATCTCTCTCCCTTCCTCTCTGTAAAAAATCAATAAAATATATTTTTTTTAAAAAAGAAAAGAAAAAGAGCCGAAGCCTATTTGGCTCAGTGGTAGATCGTCGGTCTGCGGACTGAAAGGTCCCAGGTTCGATTCCGGTCAAGGGCACACCTTGGTTCCGGGCACATCTCCAGTAGAGGGTGTGCAAGAGGCAGCTGGTTGATGTTTCTCTCTCATCGACATTTCTAGCTCTCTATCTCTCTTCCTTCCTCTCTGTAAAAAATCAATAAAATATATTTTTAAAATTAAAAATTAAAAATTAAAAAAAAGAAAAGAAAAAGAAAAAACAAAAGACTCAAAGGCATTGAACTGACTCAGTTAATCCAAGTAGTAGTAGTGTCCTTTTAAAATATACTACTTTATTCCAACATTGAGAGAGACATGTGATAATTCTCTAATCACCCAGCAAGTAACAAGTCCTTTTTAAAATCCAAGAAGTTAGGTGATGACATTTGAGAAGAAATTTGATTATGACTTTTTGATACTGACCCTAGTGACTTCCGGCCCCTTTCCTCAATAGAGTGGGCCACTCTACATCTTCATATAAGGCTACTGGGATCGGTGGTGATTAGGTCTGAGTGGTTGCCTGGAAGGACCTGTCTTAGTTGAGCCCTTTGCCAATGCCATTGACACTCTAATTTCCTTGAGTCCCTCAGTAGGAGGTTAGTATTCAATTTACTGTCCAATGGGCTTTAGATAGGACAGACTCAAGAGAAAACAGGACAGTTCCAGTTAGTTTAGAGTTTAGAAATATAATTTTACTTCTAAGGGGAGGTCTGAAGGAGGAAGAAGAAACCTACAGTTTAGGAACCTAGGTGGAAAAGTTGGGCAAATTACACTAACTTCTCTGGGGTTGATCTTTCATGAAATGCATCCCTTCTTTGTATGGAACTGGGCAGCAGACACTAATGCAAAATCACATTACAGGATTATGTAAATAGGACTCTGGAAGGTTTGCCTCACTGTGCTTCTTAAAATATTTTACTCACTATTTACCGTACCCATTTTTAAAGACTATAAGGAAATCCTCATGATATAATAGATGGAAAACAACATTATCTCTTTTTTAAGAAATACATTTTATTGATTTTTCACAGAGAGGAAGGGAGAGGGATAGAGAGCTAGAAACGTCGATGAGAGAGAAACATGGGCCAGTTGCCTCTTGCATACCCCCTACTGGGGATATGCCCACAACCAATGTACATGCCCTTGACCGGAATCGAACCTGGGACCTTTCAGTCCACAGACCGACGCTCTATCCACTGCGCCAAACCAGTTTCGGCCAACATTATCTCTTGACTATGGTAGTGGATCCATGAACCTATGCATGTGATAAAATCACACAGATCTAAACACACACACACACACACACACACACACACACACACGCACGCAGGCACACAATAGTTAAAATGGGGAATGCTGAAAAAAATTGGTGGATTGCATCAAAGTTAACATCCTGGTTGTGATAATGTACTATAGTTTTTCAAGTGTTATTGTTTGAGTAAATGGGGTAAAGGGTGCATGAGATCTCTGTATTATTTCTTACAACCGCATGTGAGTTTATGATTTCAAATTAAAAAGTTTAATTTTATTTTTTTTTAATTATTTTTATTGATTTCAGAGAGGAAGGGCGAAGGAAAGAGAAATATAAACATCAATGATAAGAGAGAATCATTGACTGGTTGCCTCCTGCATACCCCACACAGGAGATTGAGCCTGCAACCCGGGCATGTGCCCTGACCGGGAATTGAACCATGACCTCCTGGTTCAACCACTAAGCCATGCCGGCTGGACAAAAAGTTTAATTTTTTAAAAACCTGAATGTACAAAAGGAGCACAATCGTGGGAAAATATGTATTTGAATGATTACAGATTTGTTTATGCAAAATGCATTTGTATAAATACATGCACAAATGCATGCCCATGGGTATACATGCATGCACATCTTACAAAGGGCTCTTTGTCTCTGTCTTTCCATGGGGTTCCCCTGACTGGTTGGCCTCACCTGTCTTCCTGCCTGCCTTTGCAGATACCTCTCCCAGACAGCGGATCCAGAATCTTAGTCGCTTTGTATGGAAGCAGGCGACAGTGGCCAGCGAACTATGGGAGAAGCTAACAGCCCGCTGTGTGGACCAACACCGCCACATTGAGCGCACTCTGGAGCAGCTGTTGGAGATCCAAGGGGCAATGGAGGAATTAAGCACTACTCTGACTCAGGCTGAGGGAGTCCGAGCCACTTGGGAGCCCATTGGGGATCTCTTCATTGATTCACTCCCTGACCACATCCAAGCTCTTAAGGTATATAGGCCCCCTCGCCTGGCTACAGCCCACCCTGATACCTGACACTCCTCTCAGACCCTGACAATGTTCCTGCTCCTGAGAGGCCATTGTTGACCAGTACAACAACCGAGTCTACCAACTTATGTGCTGGATTTGGGGGCTGGTTTTGCTGGAGTCTCCTCTGTCACCTACTGTCTTCTCTTTCTCTGATGTTTTCTGTGAGTAGGAAAGGAAGAGGATAAGGACCGTGGCCACCTACATCTTAGTCCTGTTACCCTAATAGGGAAGCATCTAGGTTGTGCTGTTGAATCAGAATCTTGGAGTGAAGAGGGAGGAGTTGAGGTGAATGACTAATGGTTTATCTTTCCCACTATCTGTCCACTGTGGGACTTGGGCTCTGATTCCACAGCTATTCAAAGAAGAATTATCCCCCATGAAAGATGGAGTGAAGTTGGTTAATGATCTGGCCCATCAACTTGCCATTTCTGATGTTCACTTGTCAATGGAGAACTCCCGGGCCCTGGAGCAGATCAACATCCGATGGAAACAGCTGCAGGTAGAGAACTCTTGAATGAGCCATGGGGAAGAGCCTTGATATAACTAGACTTGGGAGGAACTTCTCTAGGCCCAAAGGAAGTGAAGGTGCATTGAAATGGGAACTGCATAGGAGAAAAAAATGGTAGATAATTGGGGGCCAGGTAACAGGCTTCTCAACTTCTAAGCTACAGGGAGTACTTGAAATGAGGATCTAAGAAGGACCAATCTAAATATGGATACTTGGATTATACAGGGACATACAAAGAGTGACTGTGACCCTAGCTGTTTTGCTCAGTGGTTAGAGCTTCAACTCATGGGCTGAAGGGTCACATGTTTTATTCTGGTCATGGGCACATACCTTGGTTGCAGGTTCCATCCCTGGCCCCAATTGGGAGTGCACAGGAGGCAAACAATCAACGTGTCTCACATTGATATTTCTCTCTCACCCTGTCTCTCCTCTCCCCGCTTCAGCTTTCTCTGAGAATCAATGGGAAAAATATGCTCATGTGAGGATTAACAAAACAACAAAAAAAGAATGACTGTGTTCTGGAACTAGGGATGCTCATCTCTGACCCTTGGGAAAGCTGTGGGAGAGCTAGCAGTTGGGTGATGGTGGGAAGAGCTGGAACCAGAGAAGAATCAGACTATGAGGGAGTTCACAAAGATTCTCAGAGGCACCTGGAAATCCCACACGAAATACCTGGGATAAATCCACTCACTTCCTACCTGTTGGTTCCATAGGTATCAGTTGGTGAGAGACTTAAGCAGCTCCAGGATGCCCACAGGGACTTTGGACCTGGATCACAGCACTTCCTCTCCTGTACGTGAGACAAACTGGACTTTACTTAGTAGGGCTTCAGCCACCTTCCAGGAAGTTCTACTGTTGTCCTTTAGGGACCTAGCGGGATCCAAGTATACCTTGACATTCTAAGCATAGTAAGGATAAAGCAGTATAGTGCTTAAAAGGATAAGCTCTCAAATCAGAGACACCTAGGTCTGAGTCACAGCTCCTTAACTTAACAGCTGTGCAAGCTTGAAAAAATAGTTTAACATTTCTGAACCTCAGTTTTCCCACTTATAGAAGGAAGTAAATGTATTACCTAGCTCACAGGGTTATTGTAATTAAATGACTTTATTTTTCAACAATATTCATTGAGGGCCTACTGTGGACCAGGTACTCTTCTAGGCACTGGGACTACATCAGTGAATAAAACATAGGAAAGTCTTTAGACCTATAGAACTTAAATTCTAGTGAGGGAAGCCAGACCATAAATAAATAAGTAAAAACAGATATGAGGCAAATTGGTGACAAGTGCTATGGAAAAAAGTAAAGCAGCTAAAGGATGAACAGGAAGTGATGAATTTAAAGGGGGGAGGCATTGCAATTCTAAACAGAGTGGTCAGGAAAGGCCCCACTGAGAGTATGGTGATGAAGAGAAAACCTCGGGGAGGTGAGGGAATGAGCTATGTGGATGTCTAAAGGAAGAGCATACCAGGAAAAGGGAACAACAACTGCCTTTGTTAAGGCAGGGGCATGCCTAAGTATCAGCAAGAAGGCTGATATAGAAGTGAACAAAGAAGGTAGAGAGGCCAAAACCGGTTTGGCTCAATGGATAGAGCGTCGGCTTGGGGACTGAAAGGTCCCCGGTTCGATTCCAGTCAAGGGCATGTACCTTGGTTGCGGGCATATCCCCAGTAGGGGGTGTGCAAGAGGCAGCTGATCGATGACTCTCTCTCATCGATGTTTCTAACTCTCTATCTCTCTCCCTTCCTCTCTGTACAAAAATCAATAAAAATATATATTTTAAAAAAAAAGGTAGAGAGTAGGAGGTCAGAGTGGTGGCAAGAGGCCAGAGTACAGAGGGCCTTGTAGATTACGGTAAGAACTTGCGATTTTATTCTAAGTGGAATGCAGAACTTGGAGGAGTTTGAGCAGAAGGATGACATGTTCTGACTTATGTTTCAACAGAGTCAGAGTGTTGAGGATTGATAGTGGGAACAGGGAGAACTGTTAAGAAGCATATTGCAATAATCCATGTGAGGAATTATGGTGACTCATATCAGGATGGTAGCAGTGGATATGTTGACAAAATACAGATATAAAAATTAGATATGTACACAAAGCATTTAGAAGAGTATCTAGCACATAGTAGGAACTCAATAAATTTTAATAGCAGAACTATTGCTATTACACACTTGTATGTAATTATACCTGCAGGGGGCTTTTGTACTCAGGAAAATAGCAATGAGGAGGTTGGTAAGGTAACTTAGCCTCTCCTGCACCATCCAGAAGATAAAGACATGGAGCAGAGAGGGACATCCTTTAAAGAGTTCCTCGTCATAAAGAAATGGACAGTACCATTCCCCATTGTTCCACAGGACTGAGTAACTTGACCTTTTTGGGGAAGGGCTTTGAGCCCCAGGAGGAAATGTAGGTTCCACTTCATATCCATAGAAGCATGCCAGCTGCCTATAGCTGAATGGATAGAAATGCTAGTCTGGTCAGGGAGAAGATTTTTAGGGTAACCAAAGTCAAGTATTTCTGTTCATGCCCTTGCCTTGTCTTTGACATATGAGGTTATCAGTGACAACCTCTTCTCCTTTTGTTGCCCTAAGATCAAGGAGAGAAGTGTGTTTATTAGTTGGCCCACCTTTTGGGGCTGTTAAGATCTGGCAATGAGAGTCAAGTGTTTCCTCTGGGGTTTGACCTCTCCTTGGGATGACAGAGCAGGGGAATCTCTAGGGGACTGATGAGCATTGGTAGCCAGCTTCTTTCTCTTTCTCTTCTTCCTTACCAGCTTCTGTCCAGGTTCCCTGGGAAAGAGCAATCTCACCCAATAAAGTTCCCTACTACATCAAGTGAGTGACTGTCTGAATCAGAAGTGGCTCAGTTACCTGCCCACCCCTTCCCTTGCCTGTCTTTTTCTCTACCTGTCCCTGTCACTCCTTATCTGTTTGAATTCCTTTATCCAGTCCAGTTTTTCCTCCTGCTCATCTCAAGAGCTCAAGATTCTACCTGGGTAAAGGTGATCCCTTGTGCTTTGGGATCTTCAGGGTTCAACCCTGGATCCTCCAGCTCCTTGCATCCAACCTATCCCTGAGTGGTGTGCGCATGTGTGAGGGGGGTGAGGGGTGGTGTGGCCCCTGGTGCTATTGATGCTTTTGTTTGTAGCCACCAGGCTCAGACCACATGCTGGGACCATCCCAAGATGACCGAGTTATACCAAACCCTGGGTAAGAATTCAGGGATCCTGTATAGGGTGGATATTCAGCTGTCTTTGCTCTATAAGAACAGAAGGGAATTCCATTCAACAAGCAGGTGGGGATGGAAGTGAGTGCCTTGTCCTTTCTCCAGCAGCCTCCTTTCATCCCCTCTGCACCTCCCTCAAATGGACCATTTTATTATCACATTAAAGAACTATGATTATAGATGTAAACCAGATCTGCTTTGAAAGGCATTTCCCAGGTGTAATGAATGTGACTCTACTTGCATTATCTTTGGCTACTAACAGACTCACCATGAGGTTGCAATTTTATTCATGTTGATCTATGTGAATTTAGTTCATTTATTTAACTGCTAGAGTGTCCCATTGTATATATCACAGTTTCTTCATCTAGTCTATTGTTAATAGACATTTGGCTTGTTTCCAGTTTGGTGCTGATGAAGAGCTTTTGTGAATGACTTCTGGTACACATATGTGTGTTTTTCAGACTACAGGTTTAATATTGTTTCACTGTTATGACAAGCATTTTAAAAATTGAAACAGACTGGGAAATACGAAAGAAAGTGCTACAAATCTTTAACAAGAGTCATATCTGATATTAATTTTATGTTTTTACTTTGTAAAATCTAGTAAGGTATTGTTTCCTGAAATGTTTGGTTCAGTTATTTATACATACTTACATGAGTGTATATATATTGGATCATGATGTAAAATAAATTTCTCACCATGTGTCTTGGGCAAAAAACACTTGAAAATCACTGATCTGGATATATAATCACTGATCTGGATATATAACTGGCTGGGTTGTAGGAGACCTGAATGTTCAATTTTACTGGCTAATACCACATTGTATTCAGTTTATACTTCTATCAGCAGTTATTCATTCATATCTTTTATAACACTTGTTATTGTCAGACTTTTATCTTTTGCCAATCTAGTGGGTGTATAATGGTATCTTGTTGTGGTTTAAATTTGCATTTCCCTGATCTGAGTGGGTCTCTTTCCAATCTCTGCAGCTGATCTGAACAACATTAAGTTCTCAGCCTACCGTACTGCCATGAAGCTACGCAGAGTTCAAAAAGCACTACGCTGTAAGTCTCCCATAATACTTCCTTTATGGCCTTCTCACTCTATTTCTTCCCATCTTCATCTGTGGGCTGTTTCCTACTTTCATTCTATCTTGGGCAGGGTTGTCGATTGACTTGATGGGATATCCAAAGGCTGGGATATCCTGGCTGTTGACACCTGCTCTCCTAGGGCCCTTCTATTCTCCCAAAGTCCCAGACTTGTTTCCAAATTAACCCACAGCTACCCTCTTCCTTGTCCCTTCTTCCACATCTAACATGGATAATCAAGGAATTGTTTTATGGCAGGAAGTATCCCAGATGATGGTTTGGAACCACTGAGGGCTTGTGTTCTTTTTTTAAAGAAAAATATGCTTTTATTGGTTTTAGAGAGAGGGAATGAGATAGGGAGAGAAAGGGGGAGAGAAGAGAAAGAGAGGGGTAGAGAGAGAGACTAGAGAGAATCTAGGGGGCTTCCTCTTTCACACACCCCTACTGGGAATAGAGCCAGCTACTTGGCATGTGCCCTGACCAGGATTCGAACCTATGAACTCTCAGTGCATGGAATGAAGCTCAATCAACTGAGCCACACTGGCCAGGGTGAGGCCTGTATTATTTTGTCATCTTGGGGTGATTAGATGTAGTAGCAGATCTGTTGAAGCATATGCCAGTGGTTAGGGGACAACATAGTTGCAGATATAATGTGCTTTCTGGCCTTTCTCAGAAACACTATTTATTCAATCTTCCAGGCACATCTGGCTAGGCTGCTTCCAACATTGGGAGAAATTATAAAGTTCTCCTCAGGTATGTTACACTTATCCAGGCACACTTGAGCATTCATAACTGGTGACTAGGTTCTTGGTACAAAATCTATGGACAAACCTATTTATAGTTAAAATATGTATAAAGACAGAGAAATTTAAAATGGATTTGTCCAACAAAAAAAGTGAGTTTATTCATATCATACCATCTTGAAACTGATGTCAAAGAACATATGTGTATAGAAAAATTTTGGGTTAATTTAGAGGGCCTTTTGCTGCTTTCCCTTTCCTTCTAATGAGTGCCTTGGTAAAGAGCAAGCTCGTGTCATATTCACAAATGGTTTGTCTGGAAATTGAGTTAAATTTGGTGAAGCTGGTAGCCTTACCTCCTTGTCTAGCCCTTGGGGTTCTTCTTTTGGCTATATTTTCTCCCCTCTCCTTTTTTTCTTAGTGGACCTGGTCACTTTAACCACAGCTTTGGAGATCTTTAATGAGCATGATCTTCAGGCCAGTGAGCATGTGATGGATGTGGTGGAGGTCATTCATTGCCTGACTGCCTTATATGAACGGCTGGAGGAGGAAAGAGGCATCCTGGTCAACGTGCCACTCTGTGTGGACATGAGTCTCAATTGGCTCCTCAATGTTTTTGATAGGTAAGGGCATGAAACCCTGGCAGCCTCCAGGATGAAATTCAATGGGACATCGGGAGTGGACCTGGTGGGAAGAGGTTGTTGCCATGGTGGACTTGGACCCAACTCAGCTTGGGACATGGCTAGCACAGAGCCCTACTGAAGTCAACTCTGTGAAGGAAATGATTGCCAAGAAGTTAACCTTTTACATATATTCATATTCTCAGTCTCTTCTTTTAAACCTAGTGGTCGCAGTGGAAAGATGCGGGCATTGTCCTTTAAGACTGGCATTGCATGCCTGTGTGGCACAGAAGTGAAGGAAAAACTGGAGTGTGAGTACAACTCCAAATTCTGGAATGTGGAGTAAGGTGGAGGGAGAGGTGTGGCGGGAGGAAACATCTTTATAAGATAAGCAGAAGGCAGGTCTTATGACTCAGCAGAAGATTAAGGCTACCTTGTGATACTTTCTGGTCCAGGCTGTTGCAAAGAACCTATAATATCCAAAGGTCAAGATGGGCTTAAGGCCTATTTTTATTGCCAGTATCACTCCAGTGGGTTTGGTTTCTTCTAATCTGATGTAATTACTTTACCAGGATCTGAGTTAGCATCCTGGGGTACTCAAAGCCCAGACTTTATAGTTCTATTTTCCTATAGCCTATAAGGCTTAGCCCTCTCCAGTCTGGAGCTCAAGCCATGTCACACATTCTACTGGAGACTTCCCACAGGGATTACATGGGCAGGGTGCAATAATCCCACTATTGGACAGTGCACTGTATGTAGTCCTGTATTTTTTAACCTCTCTGGTATATAGTACCTTTGTTTCCCCCTCCATCTTTCATCTTTTGTACAACATACTTTTCTACAGCAGAATTCTTAGTTGACAAGTGCTTATGGTGTATTAACCACTCTACTAAATGTGGTGAGTGCTAGGTTCAATTAAACATGGTCCCTGCTTCAAGTGGTTTATAGTCCAGAGGAGGAGACAAAAGTACACAGAAAGCAATTTTACAGTGTTAATTAGCCTAATCAGAATGGTAAAGGATATGTGCTATATCGGGTCACAGAGGAGAAATGACAGCAGTCTGGGAAAACTTTACAAGGAAGGAAACCTTTCAGAGCATGTCCATAGCTATATTACTTAGTTCTCCCAAGATTCCTTTGAGTTGGGTGGACAATGATTATTTATTTTATTTTACAAGTAAGGAAACTACAGTGTAGAGTCTCATGACTTACCTAAAGTTCTGCAAGCTAGTCAGTAATGGATCTATTATGAAAATCCAGGCCCTCTGTCTTCCATGTTTATGTGTTTTCTAAGCCTTAGGTGAGGTATGAAGTAGACAGACAGTAATCTTTGGAGGAGGTTTTCTAAGGGAGTGGGATGGGAGAGTTTCCCAAGAGCAGATATAGCTCATATTCAAATACAAGTACCACTGTCTATTCCACAATCACTTAGAGATAATTCTTAGATTATCAAATGCTTTGAATTAACTCCTCTTTTTATTTTTAAAAAAATATTTTTATTGATTTCAGAGAGGAAGAGAGAGAGAGATAGAAACATTAATGATGAGACAGAATCATTGATTGGCTGACTCCTACACACTCCCTACTGAGGATCAAGCCCACAACCCAGGCATACGCCCTTGACCAGAATTAAACCCGTGACCCTTCAGTCCAGGAAGCCTACGCTCTATCCACTGAGCCAAGCCGGCTAGGGCTAGCTTCTCTTTTTAGATGATCCATGCCAGTGTTTCTTCCCATTTGTGTGGATAATTGAGAGAATACTGGAGTATCAGACTACATAAGCTAGGGCAGATTAGTTGTAACTCAAGTTCAGGCACACCTGAGCCCCATACACCCTTATCTTGCTTCTTAAGAATCTGTTTTCCTGACAGTATTATATCTGTGTCTGGCACTGCTCTCACACAGCTTGCTCTCTGTCTTCATCTTTCTACCCTCTCTTTCTGGTGTACTCTCTCTTTTGCCTGTCTCACTTTTACTCTCTGAACTTAGAGAATGCTATTTTTAGAACTCTTGAGCATCTAGAAGGTCAGGGATGAACCTCTAGGTATTCCAGTTTCAAAAGTCATTAGCTAAGTCTATGTGCTCTTTCCCTGTCTTCTTTTTCTGCTCTCCCCTTGCTCATTCTCTGGCTATTTCTGCATTGGGGTTGGCCACGACTTATTGTGGGGCCAGCAGACCTCTTCAGTCAAGTAGCCAACTCAGGCAGCCAGTGTGACCAACGCCACCTTGGTGTCCTGCTTCATGAGGCCATTCAGGTGCCCCGTCAGCTGGGGGAAGTGGCAGCCTTTGGAGGCAGCAATGTGGAGCCCAGTGTCCGTAGCTGCTTCCGTTTTGTGAGTATGGAACTTGGGAGGATGGAAGGGAGGGTTTATGGGAGGGAGGGTGGGAAGAAGGGAGGGAGAACTAAGAGCTAGGCATTAGATCTGTACTAATCAGATGTAAGAGAGTTTTTGGGGATGGAACAAGAGGGCAGAGGGTTCTCTGGGCTTTTAAGGTCAGAGTCCTGCCAAAGAGGGTGTCAGCTCTACTAGGACAGGACAGAAGTAGTCACCTCTGGAGAATAGGTCAACCCAGGTCTTGCTAGTTATCCTGTTCCTCTGAGGACTGCCATTCTAGGGACACTTTGGGCCTTAGTCATTGCCATTGGACTTCTTGTTTCTCTAGAGCACTGGGAAGCCAGTCATTGAAGCTTCGCAGTTCTTGGAATGGGTCAACTTAGAGCCCCAATCCATGGTGTGGCTGGCTGTTCTGCATCGGGTCACCATTGCTGAGCAAGTGAAACATCAGACCAAGTGCTCTATCTGTAGACAGTGCCCCATCAAGGGCTTCAGGTAGGAAAAACAGTTCCTGATGGAGTGATAATAATTGTAAATAGGCTATGTTGCAAATAAATCATATATTTTAAAAATGTATTGCATAATTATATAATTACAGCTAATGTAGTGTACATTAGTATGTATTGTAATTCTATCGCACAACGTTTAACATTTTAAAAAATCGGAAATATTTTCTTTAGTTTTAGTTGTATTGTGAAATGTTCCAACCTACAAAAAATGTACTGAGAAGCCAAAAGGGGTGGGTGAAGGAACAGCACAGAAATGGAAGTAATTTGCTTCTGGTTTCTCAAGGAGCATTAAGTAGAACTCAGAAGCCCCAGCATCCTGACATAAGAACATCTATGAACCAAATGGTATGCTGGCAAATGGTTCACAACTCCAAAAAGCAAGAAAAGAACCTAATTTTTAGCACTTGCTAATTTCCATGATGTAAATACTCCCACTGTGGCCATTGTCTAGCTACTCACAGGGGACTGGGGAGAGATGCACAGTTGCACACTATTTATAGTATTTCCATCATGCAGATCCAATAGACTAAACAACCTCGGTGAGTTTTGAGTATTTATTACTTCAGTCTTTAATGTCATTTACTTAATTGTGAGTTTATAGAATTTATTTTTTAATAATGGCTGTATTTAACAACCAGCTTAGAAACTCCCTGAAATTTTAACAGTTGGCTCTTGTGAGCTGTTGTAAACCAGCTCCAGCATCCCACAGCGCTTACCCACCACCAAGTGTAAGAAATAACAAATTATTGCAGTATATTTTAAGTTCTACTGATTACATTCTCATTCCCCTTCCACAAAAATAGCCACTATCCTGAAATTGACTTTCATCATACAATGCTGTTTTTTGACTTTTCAAAGCACTAACACACACTCTCTTTACAACCACCCAATCTTTTTATAAGCAAATGAGGCAAAGAGGTAGAATGTTACTTGCCCAAGTTCACACAGCTGGTTAGTATAGATCTAGGACAAGATGTTGGATCCTCTGACTTCTCAAAGTCTAGGCATTTCACCATTCTATATACTACTAGGTCTGGGCAGCTCAGCCAGGCTTTGGAACTGGATCTGAAGGTCTAGTCTCTATTATAGTTGGGTAATAATAGAGTTTATTATTTTAAAAAACTTTTGGAAATAACTTTTAGCTAACTTACCCAGGGCTGGTAGAATAAGTGGCCTTCATATGGGAAGAGTGACTTCTCCAATGTAGGTGGTGAGACTGGACTTTTTGGGATAATCCTTCTTTAGAAAGCTATTTGCTATTGTGAGCAATTTATACCTGCACCTCTCTTCCCTTTAAAAAGGATGGTGAAACAGTGCTATTTCCCACACTTCCTAGGAGTCTGAGCATGTAGTTTTATGGAGACTTATGTTCTTTAGAATAAGGCTAATCGTTTAGTAAGGACTCAGCCACTGCTATGTATAGGAGGTTGAGCATATTATGGCTCCATGTCCTACGTCCTTCTGATGTGTGTATATATTTGTATGTTAGGGAAATGGGAAGGTCACTATAGTCCACTGGATACTCTGTCCTACAACCTCTCATCTCCCCAAGGTACCGGAGTCTGAAACAATTTAATGTGGACATCTGCCAGACCTGCTTCTTGACAGGCAAGGCCAGCAAAGGCAACAAGCTGCACTATCCCATCATGGAGTATTACACCCCGGTATGAAGCCTTGGGGCTGAGTGGGAGGGGAAGACAGCTCTCAGATTCTGGGCCCTTGATCTACTTAGCCAAGCACTGACTAACTGTATTCTGCCCTCCTCTGGGAGCATTCTCCCAATAGTCCCGATGATTTACCAGTTTGGGGGATTCAGGCCTCTATGTTCTTCCAGCAGGGCTTCTCCATCACCGGGGCCACAGCTGGGTATAAGAGCCCAGGACATACTCACTGTTTTCCTGCAGAGAGAAGTTTCAGGAAAAATAGTTTAAGACAGTTCCAGGCAACAAGCTTCTGTTGCTCACTTTAGTTTCCCCGCACACCGCCCCCCCCATTTCTCTCCCCCCCCCCCCCCCAGTTTCCTACATTGCTCCTGTCACCTGGTCTTCACCTGCTACTTTGTTATTGCTTCCATCTCGCTAATACCAAAGTTTGTCTTCGAATTAATTACTCAGTCTCTTGGGGGGAGAAGGAGGTATGTTTTTTACCTGGCTCCCCAATTTCACTTGGTTTTCACTGGGAACTGTGCTCTTCATAGCCACTTGAGTCCAAATTGGTCAACATCCTTGGACTCCAGCTACACAATTTCTCCTCTGCTGTGATCAGGATCCACAGCTCCAGGTGTAGCTGCTTGAGCTGACTCTGCTTCCTCACATCCTTTATTCCATCCTATTTTATAGATACTCCCAATGCCCCAAGCATGTCTGGGCTGCTTATATTCCCCACTGCTGTCTCCCACCATACCTCCTACTTTTCAACCTGTTTTTCCATAATTCATCTCTCCAAGCTATCATCTCTTCTCCAAATTTTGTTGGCACAGAAACATGGACAACTCAGTAGAAGCATGGACATTGCCCTTTATTTTTCTTTTATCATTTTAAGGTAAATATTATAAAAGATATACATGGAAAACTGGCTCAAAATGGTATACTGATAATCCTCTACTTCCTGTTGATCTATGTCCCTAGAATTTATGCAAATGATATTTTAAAAAATTAATGAATATATACTAATTGTAAAAGATTAAAATAATATAGATGTGTTTAAAGTATAAAATGAAAGTCTTTCTCTCTCCTCAGCCTGATCCCCACCCCTCTGTTCCAAATTCTCAGAGACAACCAGTATTCACAGTTTGGCATGTGTCTTTCTAGACCTTTTTCTAGGAGTGGGGTGTAGTAGGCATGAACAAGAGTGGAGGACCAGTCACGTTCCCTGCTCTAGGGGAGCAGCCACACCTACCCCATCATATCCCAAAGCCTTTAAGGTAAGTCCCTTTTCCCCTTTTCCCCCCAGACCACATCCAGTGAGAACATGAGAGACTTTGCCACAACCTTAAAGAACAAATTCCGCTCAAAGCATTATTTCAGCAAACACCCTCAGCGAGGTTATCTGCCTGTGCAATCAGTGCTGGAGGTCGAGTACAGTGAGACGTGAGTACCAGTGGCTGGTGGGAACTGTGGTCAGCCTCACTGAGCCTTGGTATAAGAAGAGGCAGAGTGCTATGTGGGCTAGGGGAGTGCTCCAGGGCAAAACCCAACTCGTGACAGAGCAGTTCAACTTGTGCCTGACTAGGAATCCTGCCTAAATCCAGTCTCTGTGTCCTGTTCTCACCATCTCCTTCCCATCTCACTAATTGGGGTAAGGGGTGAAGAAACAGGTTGCCCAGTTGCCCAGTCTTTGGTCCTCTGAGTCTTTGCTGCTTTCTTCTAGGCCGGCTTCTTCCCCGAGGTTGCCACATGCTGACACACACTCCCGCATTGAGCATTTCGCCAGCAGGTACCACCAGGTTTGGGGGATAGGGATTACAAGGAATATCATGGGGAAGGGGTTTTCGCTTGGGCAAAGAGAAAGGAGTCAGTGCCGGGGAGGGTGTGCACAGTGGGGTATGAGGCCCAACACTTAGGTGTGGTGGTGACAGCCCCCAAAACTAATATTCTGTTGTGGGATTAGAATCCTTGAGATGAAAGCAGGCCCACATCTTGTTTTCCCTTGTTCCTGCTCTTTTTCCCCAGGCTTGCTGAGATGGAAAATCAAAATTGCTCCTTCTTTAATGACAGCCTGTCCCCAGATGACAGCATGTGAGTTTTCACAGCTGCTCCTTTTCCAGGAATAGCTAGCTTTCTTTAAGATCCTTCTGCCACCATTTACTTGGGAAGGGTTATATCTTCCAGGGGAGGTAGTATGGTAGTTAGGGTATTTGATACCCTAAGGAAGGGAGACTGCTTTCTGGGCACATAGTTTAGTAAGAGAAGCAGTCTGCCTGCTATTAACTGCCATCTGCCCAGATCCCTTTCTGTTGCACGATCCCATCCTTTTATGCCCAGCTTTGAGGAAGAAGACTATGTTCTCAACTAATTTTGCAGAAATGAGCCATTACCTTATGCTCAGGATGCCAAAGGCCCAGATAGTGCCTCAGCAACCCTGGAAGACACCAGGGACATAACTGAAGTGTGGCCAAAGATACTCCCTGGCTCTCTAGCCCCAAGAACAGGCCCTGCATCTCTAGGGAGATACCTGGCCTGCTCAGAGGGCCTAGGAGGTACATGGATCAATCTGGCCCTGACCAGACTAAGGCAGGCAGTCATCCTTCTTGGGATGGGGAAGAGAAGGGAAGATGGAGTGGAAGAATAACACAGTCAGGGAATCATTTCCCACATGGTTTTAAGAATCCACAAGCCTTAGCATACTGAAAACACTGTCTTAGTATATACCCAACCATGACCTCTGCAACCTTTGAATACTTCCACTCCTCATAAGCCTAAATACATAGTCTTTTCCCTTTCTACGTGACTTAGATTTGAATCCTTCAGCATGCATTTCCTGAGGCCTGAACTGGGACCTGAGAACTCATGCCTTGAGCTGTTTCTTGGTTCAGTGCCCAGCCATCTCCTTTCCTCTCCCCACACCCATGCAGAGACGAGGATCAGTACCTGCTGCGGCACTCCAGCCCCATTACAGACCGGGAGCCAGGCTTCGGACCGCAGGTTCCATGCAGCATGGCCACAGAAAGCAAGGGGGAGCTAGAGAAGGTCCTGGCCCACTTAGAGGATGAGAACCGGTGGGTGTGGCAATGACACAGATCTATGTAGATTCTAGAGTCAGGCAGCTTGCAAGTCCTGGCACTTCCACAGCCTACCTATATAACCTCAAACAAGTTATATTCTGTGACCTTCCATTTCCTCATTTGTAAAATGGGGCTTGTGGTAATAGTACCTCCACCCTAAGTCCACTTGGGAAGATCAAATGATCAGACATATAATGTGTTAGCCAGTGCCTAGCTTAGAGTAAGTATTCAATATATGCTAGCTAGTCTAGTAATTATTTTAACCCTTTGTGCACCATAAGCATCTATAGTCGCAAACGAGATAAAAGCGTCTTCGGATGTGTGGCAAGTAACTGGTTAACACCTTTAACTCAATCCAAAAAAATTCAAGTACCCACTAGATGCAAGCAGAAAGAATACAAACCCAGAAAGTATACATGTTTTTGCCCTCAGGGAATTTTCAGGGTTGGATTGGAAAGATACTTAGCACTAAGTGAAAGTAATGAAAGAAGAGGAAAGTAACACTGCATTGCACATTTGAGGACTGGAAGAGTGAAAGTGGAGATGACAGGAATGGTATTAATTCCATAAAGTATTTATGGAGCAGGGACCGGAGGATGGTCCAAACAACTTTGGAGGCATGCAGTAGAATCCATAGAACAGTGCTTCTCAAACAATAGTGAGCATACAAGTAATTTAGGGAGCTTGGTAAGGTGCAGATTTTGATTAATAGGTCTGGGTAAGGGCCTGAATTCCTCTATTTCTAACCAGCTCCCAGGTATGCCCATGTCACTGGCCCAAAGACTGTATTTGGAGTAGCAAGTTCTTAGAACAGGGCCAGTCTGCAAGGTGTTTGTTACTGGTTCAAAACAAGATAAATATAGAAACAGAGAGTAAATTTTTAGAAATGCTTATTGACATTGCCATGACATCCCAGCACATAATTAGTGGATTTATCTTCATTGAACAGGGTATAGATCACTTTATTGTTGAACTTGTGTGGCAAGTCATGTGTAATGTGAGCTGTGTACTAGCCATACACATTCAGACCACATATTGGTTCACAGTAGATTGAAAAAAATCCCCCTGGTATTTCACTATGGATAGTTAATTTTTGTTTATTTTTTTTTCAATTACAGTTGATAAAATATTATATTAGTTCCAGGTGTATGACATAGTGATTAGGAATTTATCTAACTTACAAAATGATCTCCCCAAAAGTCTTCACTATTGATAGTTTGAGAAGCACTGCATAAGAGCAGCAGTTAGTAGACACTGGGAAACAATGGGGAGAGAATAATTCTGTTGCCAAAAAAAAAGTAATGTCCCCCAAAGCAGACGATCTCTTTGGAATCTGTGTTCTTGATGACTCAACATGGGTGTTTAAAGTAGGCCAAAGAAGAGGGTAGTTTACAAAAGAGGGAAGATGGGTGATATTTTATTTATGTTATGTCTTCTAAATATCTAAAAATGCAGAAGGTGAGTCAGTGGCTGTAATGCCTCATTTGGTGCAGACTGTATTTCTGTCTGATTTTAAGGTTAGAATTAATCACCTAAACAGCACATTAGAGCCCTGAGACATTTGTTATATGAAATAATAGCTCTCTCTGCTTTTAGGCCCAAGGATGGCAGAATAAATGGCATATGTGCTACAAAGGAAGTGGATATAACCATTCAAGCAAAATCATGGCTGGGGTGGTGGTGGGGATGGGAGAGCCAACGTATTGCTCACATCCAGATATGGGGGATCATTTGGGATAGTCAACAACTCATTAGGGCTATAGATTTGGCTTCTTTGTCCATGGCAGGATTCTCCAAGGAGAGCTGAGGCGCCTGAAGTGGCAGCATGAGGAGGCTGCTGAGGCACCCACCCTGGCTGAAGGCTCTGCTGAGGTGGCACAGGACCACCGCAATGAGGAGCTTCTGGCTGAGGCCCGGATCCTTCGGCAGCACAAAAGCCGCCTGGAGACACGCATGCAGATCCTTGAAGACCACAACAAGCAGCTAGAGTCCCAGCTGCAGCGCTTAAGGGAACTGCTTCTGCAGGTGAGGCTGAAGCCAGGGGAAGGGCTAGTGCGACCCATTCAGGGAATAGAGATGGGGAGGAGTGGAGTAGATATGGGAGTAAAGAAAGAACTCCTTGGCCATGGCTATTAGATGGCCTTCTGAAGAGAACTGCACTGGAAATTGGGGAAGGGAAAGGAAGGGAAGGGAATGAGAAAAGGGGAGGGGAGGTCTGGCATATTGCATTACTTGGCCAATTCTCTTCCATCTAGCTTTCACTCCATCCTTGTGTGTTACTCTTAAGCCACTGTGGGGTCTAGGGCAGAGAGAGGACTTCTGAGAGCTCAATTCCCTATCATCTATTTGAACCCAGTATTGAAAGAACAAAGTTCAAAGAATCATCCAAAACTGATTTTTATTGTATGTTTGCTGGAAATAATCAAGTTTGAACATGCTTGGCAAGAGAAAGATTTTTTTTTCTGTGAAGGGGGCTTTTTTACTTTTTTATCCCTTTCTTCTTTGAGAGATAGTGTATATGATATAGTGTAGCTCTAGAGTCAGAATGTCCTGTGTTTTAATGTGGCTCTACCAATTAGTGACTGTGAGGTGTTAGGAAAGTTACTTAGCTTCACTAAGCCCTAGTACCCTCATCTGCCAGATAGGTATAATAATATACCAACTTCATGGAACTGGAGTGAACATAAAATGAGATAATACATTTAAAGAATTTAGTACAATGCCAGGAATATAATAAACACGTGATAAATGTTACCTATTGTCATACATACCAGGTGATACCACCCCCTGTCTCTTCCCCAGATCCTCCAAGGGATGAACTCTAGATGCCTGGAGGTCTCTAATATATGATATGTTATGAATTGAGGATCAGGTGTGCAACTCTACATTTCTAGAGAGAATTGGGTTCTGAACAGCTTAATTATAGCTGACATAACAGCAAGAGACCTTTAGGTGCAATGCCATTCTTACAAGAACTAGGGGACTTTAATATATCTTGTTGAAGGAGGAAGGTAATTGGTAATTGAATATTCTAAGAAGTTTTTGCAAAGGGTAGGCCACTGTTTGGGGCACTACCAAAGTTTCTTGAAGTCCAAGTGCAAAGGGATGGACATGGGTCTCTAAGGCCCCTTATAAGTTCAGGAGTCTGTCAAAGGTCAGGAAGGTAAAGCCACTTAAGTCATGCATTACCTCTTCCTAGCCACAGAATGAATCAAATGGCAATGACTCTGCAGGCTCGTCTCTAGCTTCCTCTCCACAGCAGTCAGAAGGCAGTCGCCCCCAGGAGAAGGGACAGACTACTCCAGACACTGAGGCTGCAGGTGAGTTTCCCCAGGCCCTTCCTCCATGCTTTGTCCTGCCCTAGATCTCCTATTTAAAGTTCTGCTAGGGCTGGTTCTGGTTTCCCCTCATGGCTTTGAGCCTAGCATCAGGGATGATTGGTTTATTGACTAATTCATTCATTTTTTAATTCTTCATATGTATATTGATCACCATCCATGTAGCACCCCCTGGGAAGATACAAATGCTGTGGGTTTGCCCTTCCACTGGTGGTGTCCTACTGTAGCCCCTTTGCTTCATTAGGGAATCTCTAGTTTTCTTTCCAAATTTCTCTTTTCTAACACAGATGATGTGGGTTCAAAGAGCCAAAATGTCAGCCTGTGCTTGGAGGACATTATGGAGAAGCTTCGCCATGCCTTCCCCAGTGTGCGAAGCTCTGATGTGACTGCCAACACACTGCTGGCCTCTTGATGGAGCCATATCCCCATCCTATAGTGCATAGTCCTCTACTAGTTCTGTCAAAGCCTTTCCTCAGTCTTCACCCAACTTTTTCAGTCCCCACTGGCCCCACATTTCTGAGCCAGAGTCATTTGGGCTCTAGGCAGCAGCAGAGATCTGGTGGTATGTGAGGTGGGTGTATGAGGACCAGGGCGGGAAAGGAATGATTCCTATGACTCCAGAAATGTGCCCTTTAATCTTCAAGTTTGAGACTGGTCCCTTAAGTAGATTTATATTGCAGCCCAGGCAAATAGCACTTGGAGGCCACTCAGATGGGGAGCAAAGAAACTGCCTTGCAGTGCTAAGCAATACTTGCTGTATCCTTTTCTTCTCCATGGAATTATGGAGATAGGGAAGCCTAATGACCCCAGGGTTCCAACATTATGAACCCACAGGAGTTAGCCCTATTTTCTGGACCAACTCAGAAAGGTAAAAGGGTATCCCTGAGACAACCCCTCTCCATCAAAGTGCCCCTGAAAAAAATCTGGGGGTAGCATGTGTCATGTTGCTTCAGCTCGAGGGCATACCTCTAGCCATCCTGATGCTACCTAGATGTTGTTTCCTCCTCAAATATATTCAGTTTCTCTGCCTCAGACCTCTACTGGCAGACCTTTCTCATGGGGAAGGGAACAGTTCATTCTGGGTCCTAGTTCCACCTTACATTTGGAAAGATTATAGAAATATTTATGGGCTCAGATTCCACCCCCACTCCCTATGCTACTCTTTCCTGAAGGCTTCAGCATCATACGAGAACAGTTGAGTTTCTTTGGAAATCCAAGTGAAGCCACCCTTGACTCTTCTGAATCTACCCTCACAGCCCTGGGGGAGGGGAAGCAGCTTACTCAGCAAGGGGTCTTGCTCTCTTTGGGTGAGAAGTGGAAGCCACCAGCTAGCCTGGAAGAGTGTGACTGCCCAACAATATTTCTTCTTTTACACTGAATTGGATGAGGTGGCCGATTGTCTCCAGCTAATCCTAAGGCAGATGCAATGGGCCACTTTAAATAGTGGCCTGTTCCTAGGAGCAACTGACCATTTTCCATCCAGGCAACAGCATGGCCTTCCATTGCATAAAATTATTATCTCCAGAAGATGACCCAAATCTCAAACTGAACTAACTCTTACTAGGCAATGTATACCATGATTCCTTTATACAGAAACCAGTCAGAATAGTGGGGGAGAGAGGAGTGATCTTGGGAAATTTGAATAGAGTCAGAGCCCACTGAGGCAGCTTTCTTTCAAAGGGAGCTTTACGACCTAGAGCCCTAAAATTGACTTTATTTACCTAAATTTATATACATACATATCTATCCTACATATCTACTGTATATTAGTACTCCCCTGGCCTCACTCACACATTAAATTCTAATACCTCTTGAAGTATTAATGTTCTGCCTTGCTTTTTGTTAGCCCAAGCCTCCGGTTGAACAGATAGAAATATCCTGGCTGCTCCCCTATGATGTCTCTCTATTCATGTTTGGGGTGAGCTCTCTTTAATACCAAAGCAACAGAAGCCTGTGGCCATAGAGGAATCTAACAGGAAGAGTCAATCTCTTCTCTTTACTCAATGCAAATCTTCTTCCCTTGAGACCAGGGCCTTGGATGAATTTTCCAGGGCTCGTCTAAATGATGCTTCAGGTACCAAAATAGAGCAAATCTAAGCTTTACCTACCCCATGCAGAAAAGAAGTAACAAAGAGGCTTTTAGTGGCCTTTTTGTAAAAGGCTAAGACACAGAATACGTTATCTAGCCCTTTCCAGTTCTTGAGTCTGGCTCAGGTCCATGAAGAAAGCTGTGGTTGCCACTGAGGTCAGGAGGGTATGAGATGCTTGGGGTGCTGTGTTATAATCAAGCAGTGTGCCAATGAATACAGCTTCTAGGAAGCTAGATTTATCTGCTGTATAGGAGGGAAGGCAGAAGCTTAGATGCAAAAGCCTAGGATTGCCTCCTTCTAGAATCACCATGGGGCATTAAGCCAAAGGCCCACAGTGTCAGACCTCATCACAACGTTTACCTTATTGCTCAAGAGGTCTCTGGGAAGAAGGACTTGAGTATCTGGATATATGATGAGTAGGTGGTAAGTGGGCATTAGACACAGAGCCTAAGCATCTGTCCATGAGTGGGGGGAAGCTATATTTGTAGTGGCCTAGATTGTGGGCAGGAATGGGATAGAAGAAATTTGCTATAAAACAGAGAGCTCAGGGTCTTTGAGGCTTATGGCTGCCTAGGTCTTAGGAGGATAGATGTTATAAAACAATCTTTTACCAGGGAAATCCTGGAAAATCCTTTCTGTAACCCTCATGCCATTAAAGAGATTCAGGGCTGCTGAGGGCCTGTGGCAACTGCAGCAAGCCAGGCATAGTAGAGAGATGTAGATTTCGTTATGTAGGATTTGTGCTGTTAGGCAGAAAGAAGCAACAGGTGAAGTGTTGAATTCTCACTAACAGGTTACTGACACTTTGTGGTCCTGTGTTTACCTTAATGCCCGAGGTAAGTACTGGCATACCTCCTTTTATTGCACTTTATTTTATTGAGCTTCACAGATGTTGCATTGTTTTTACAAATTGAATGCAAGATCCTCTATCAGCAAAAAGATTACAACTCACTCTATTGTGAGTCACTTTATTGTGATGGTCTAGAACTAAACCCAAAATATCTCCCAGGTATGCCTATTTATCTCTCAAAGCTCCTCATGTGCAGGCAGTTTTCCTGTAGTGAGGTAAATGAATCCTTGGGAACTGTGAATCCAAATTAAGGTGACACTTACTGAGATGTGGTGTATGTCATTAGGCATCTGTCACGTATATTTCCTAAAGGTATCGTATGTGATTTTGCATGGTTTATGGCCCTGGACTGAAAGGGTCGCGAAGGGAGTTGCTGAGTAGACAGCCTGAGGAAAACGTCTGACTTGAAGAGTTAGGAGCTGTGATAAGAAATGTGTTTGCGGAGGTTGTTGTCAAATAGTATCAATAAACAGGATTGATAGGTGATTTATTATTGGCAGAATCTGATATAAGCCAAAAAGCCATTTTGAGGGTGCCTCTGCTTGTAGTGAGAGCATAGTGGGGTAATGTTGACTGGCAAATTGTTAGGGAAGGCTGACTGGCTGGAGGACATGTGGTTTTTGTTGTATGGAACCCTAGGGAGGGCCCTACCCAGGAAGACATGTGCCCTTCCCTCCAGAATGGAAAGGCTGAAATCAAGGCTTTTAAGTACCCATTTCCTTCAAGGCCCAAAATTGGAAATATTTTCTTGCAGAGAAACCTATTTGAGTTTATCTTTTCCAGGAACTGGGTTGTTAGGTTACAGTAATAAGAAACCCTGAGGACAGGCAAAGGTCAATTCTGGGAGATGGTTTGCCTCCAGATTCATTTTAAGGAATACTCATATTGTCTGAGGTGGTGTGTTTGGGACCTGGGCTCCATTTCCAGCTTCAGGCTAGGGTGTTCCTTCAATACACATTCTCAATGACAGACTTGTGGCCTCTGAAACCATTTCAGGCCAAGAATTTCATCAAAGTTTCTTTGACATAGGTGACAGATAACCAAGAAAGTAGCTGCCTTAAGATAAACAGTCCCGGAAGAGAAAACTGGAGGCCCTGCCCTAGAGCTGTGGAGACTTAGTTGCTCAGCAGGGCACCTCTATCTCTGGGACTTCCTGCCAAAATCTGGCCCTAGGAACAAAGGAATATTTCAGTTCCTTCTTATTCTTTTAACACCCATGGCTGAGGGAGAAGGAAAGGCTCAAGGCCAGGGCTCAGCTCCCAGCCTCTATCTTCTCCCACAGCTGCTGCATTTGGCTGAGGGGCCTGCTGAGTGTTCTTGTTGTCCCCAGGGCAGTATTGAGGTCGGACTAAAGCTATGCCGCTTGCTGGCTGCAAGAACTGGTCATGAGGATGGGAGTTGGGGAAGAGATTCAGGGGAGATGACAAGGGTGACACGTAAGGCTAGAAACATTTGAGACAAAGAGGCAGGGTTGGGCACAAATTGGTTAACTTTGATTGCCACTCACTGTGGTGCTTTTCTCCTTTCCCTGGAAATCTTCTTTGAAAAGAATAAATTTGTATTTGTTTACCTGGGTCCTCTGGTCATATATATGTACTCTTTGACTCTGATATTCCACACCCTTCTCTTATTTGTGTGTGGGAAGAGAAGGTGGGCCAAGAAATTACAGCAACACTGCAAAAAATAGGTTACTAGATGAGTCCAATACCTACTGTACCAAAAAGACACCCCCACTAACTACATCCACCACAGTTACCTGAAATGGTTGCTACTTAAGGCACTATACACATTAGCTAGTTACACCCTCACCAAATGAGCCTCTATGGCAATGGTTCTTCGATTTTTTTTTTTACCAGCCTGAAACATTATACAAAAAAGAACAATGCAATAAGTGGCCATAAAGTTACATTTATTCAATTATTCTCTAGATTATATGTATAATGTCCTTGTAAATAATCGGTGGTGATAGTTTTTATAAATGCCATTTTCTGCCAAAATAAAACTCTGCTAGTCCCTCTTTCTACCACAGGTTTTTTTTTCACTAATCTATAACAGCGCTGTCCAATAGAAATATAATGTGAGACACATATGCAATTTAATATTTTCTAGAAGCCATATTAAAAAGTAAAAATAAACAAGTGAAGCAAATTTTGCTAATATATTTTATTTAACACAGTATATCTAAAATATTATTATTTCAACATGTAATCAGTATAAGATGATTCTTAATGATATTTTAGATTCCTTTAAAAAAAAAAAAGAAGTCTTAGAAATTGTGAAACAGGCTTATAAAGAAATAAGAAACCTACATAGATCCAGACTATTTATTACTTAGACAGCAAAAGCAAGAACAACAATAGTACTAGATCCCTGCACCCCTTGTCCCACAGGACAACAATGAAACAAAAGGAGCCTTATGACATGTAATATGGATGCTGGGGCACGTTGCTGCTGAGTAGCCAATTCCAAACT